ACTTACTTGACTCTATACCTTACTTGACTCTACACTTGATACTTGACTCTAGATGACTACATAGATGACAGACATAGAATCAACTTACTTGACTCTATACCTTACTTGACTCTACACTTGATACTTGACTCTAGATGACTATCTCTGTTCAAGCTCATAGCACTTGAAACTGACTTACTTACTTGACTCTGTGCTATCTCTATACTTACTTACTGACTTACTTACTTACGACTTCAACTTACTTTCTTACTACTTACTACTTACTGACTTACTTATGACTGACTCTCTATGCCTCTATGACTTACTCTCTACATCTCGGTATCTAAATCTCTCTTCTAAAGCCGGGGGGTGGCACCGTCGGCGTCCATCGGGAATGCAACCCTTCACAGGGATTCGCCTCCTCGGGCGTTCAAACGCGAGGTAAAGTTACACATTTTAGGCGCCCGGCGCAACCCTTCACAGGGATTCGCCTCCTCGGGCGTTCAAACGCGAGGTAAAGTTACACATTTTAGGCGCGCGGGTGAACCCTTCACAGGGATTCGCCTCCTCGGGCGTTCAAACGCGAGGTAAAGTTACACAGTTTAAGCGCCCGGCGCAACCCTTCACAGGGATTGGAACTCTCGGGCGTTGAAACGCGAGGTAAAGTTACACATGTTGCGGTGCCCGCGCAACCCTTCACATGGATTCGCCTCCTCGGGCGTTCAAACGCGAGGTAAAGTTACACATTTTGCGCGCGCCGCGCAACCCTTCACAGGGTTTGGGCGCAGCTCAACTGCATTTTGCAACCCTTCACAGGGATTGGCATTTTGCAACCCGTCACAGGGATTGGCATGGTCGAGTGTTCGAACGCGAGGTAAAGTTGCATTTTTTGATGTGCATTGAGTTGAATTTTGCAACCCTTCACAGGGATTGGCGTGGTGGAGTGTTCGAACGCGAGGTAAAGTTGCAATTTTTGATGAGCATTGAGCTGAATTTTGCAACCCTTCACAGGGATTGGCGTGGTGGAGTGTTCGAACGCGAGGTAAAGTTGCAATTTTTGATGAGCATTGAGATGAATTTTGCAACCCCTCACGGGGATTGGCGTGGTCGAGTGTTCGAACGCGAGGTAAAGTTGCAATTTTTGGATGAGCATTGAGATGAATTTTGCAACCCTTCACACAGATTGGCGTTGTCGAGTGTTCGAACGCGAGGTGAAGTTACACATTTTGCGGTGCCCGCGGAACCCTTCACAGGGATTGGCTTGGTCGAGCGTTGAAACGCCAGGTAAAGTTGCACATTTTAGGTGCCCCGCGCAATCCATGAGAGGGATTTGCCTCTTCGAGTGTTCTATGTTGTAATCGGTAGGTGTGCAGTAGGTTAATTGGCAACCCTTCAGAGGGATTGGCAAATCCATATATCGATAATATATACATATATATATATATATATGTGCATGGTACATAGATGACTCCATGACTCCGTGACTCTATCTCACTACGACTCTATGACGCTATCTCACTGCAACTCTATGACTTTATGACTCATGACTCATGGACTCTATGACTCTTGACTCTGTGACTTTACGATCCTATACAGTGACTCTATCTCACTACGACTCTATGACGCCATCTCACTGCAACTCTATGACTTTATGACTCATGGACTCTATGACTCTTGATTCTGTGACTTTACGATCCTATACACTGGATCTATCATATAGCCCCACAATCTTCGCTGATGATGCTTTCGGGCCAATTGTCTTCTAGTTGAGTTTGGGTTCGGCATGGTTTCCTTTGTTGAGAGACTGTCTCTAGACCTATCACAAAAAAATAATTAATCAGTATAGTTGATGAAACTATCGAGTTCCTACATTCAGGACAAGACAGTGCTCCCGGTTGGTTGCACCCTGTAGTTCTCGGCGCAATTCGCATTCTGGATTTACAGATCGCGTTCTAAATCTCCCGATGCGGCATGGTCTGCTACTAAGTTAATCGCACTTCCACCGCGTGGAAGCTGTGCTCAAATCCCGGGCCCCGTCGCCCATGTTGTTTGGCCTTCAAGTCACCCTCAGTTTCTTTCTTCAGGGTCGACTCTGTTCGACTCCGCGGGAATCGCCCACCAGATTTTTCAAATCCCGTCGTCGTTCTGAAGTGGATTTTCCAAGTCGCCTGTGCTTCCACCTTCCGACATCGCGAGGTTTTGGCTGAGTTGACCAAGAGCTGAACGTCCTTGCCAGGACCCGCTCAATAGGTTGCTCGTGTCACCAGCGGATACCAGCGGCTTTCGGAGCAGCACACCTCAGGGCCTCCGGGCTCAGCAAGCGATCGCATCCTGGATGGCCTCCGTTGTCCGCCACGACTCCGATCAGATCTTGTGCGAGGAGTGCAATGTTCGAATTGCATGAGCCACCTTGATTCAATGATGGACACTGGCTCAGTCTCTCACTCCGCTTGAGGGACTGCAGCCGGGGTTTGGTTGCATAAGCTGGTTTGCTTGTATAAGCTCGACGGTTGGAGTGAGCTTGGCCGTTTTTGTAGAAGCGTCGCCCGTGGCTTTGGATGGTCCTGCTCGGCAGGGCTGACTCAGCTGGGAGTGTATGCTTCCGAGTCACACAGGTCCATGGTTCAGCTCAAAGATGACACATGCACCCCCCCCCGCCTGCCAAACTCATGCATGATGGCAAGTCCGAGACTGTAGGAGTGAACATTGTCGGTGCTCGTGCAAGATCGTGAGTGAGGATACGAAGCATGGACGTGAGGGACTTGCAATGACGCCCACGGCATAGAGTAATGAGCACATGGTCAGAAACAGAAAGGAACAGATTATCAAGGCAACGGTGAAAACAGACGCAATTGTGGCGACAACGCGGTCTACACAGTACCTCTTCTCAAGCCAGTCTCGTGCAAGTTCCTTCTTCTCGGCCTAGTTTCTCAGCGCAACCAAGCAACAAACGCAGTCATCTATGGATGACCGCTGCTGCGCGGTCAAGTCCACCGAGTTCGACATGGCGGAACAAGGCTTTCTTCTCTCTCAGTGCACCCAAGCAGAGCAGCAAAAGAGACACCAATGCGTCCCGTGCTGTTGAGGTTTGCGTGCGACGAGTTAGCTGCACCTCACTCGTGACTTGATGCCGATCGGATCGGATGCGGATGGATGAAGTGTGGGTCGCGGACAACGCGACATTCGCCTCGGCCCATTTCCCCCCCTGCCCCCGGGGCCGTTCGGTCTTGCCCAAGACGCGAAGAGGTTGTAAGTCCCCCAACCCCATCCATATGCCATAGACATAGAATCTTGCACTGCCGTCCGTGGATCGTCCGAGGATGATCTCTGAATCTGCGTCTCTCAGCCATATCAACCCTGCTACGTAGCTAAGTTTCGCGCCGAATCGTATCTACAAGTAGCCTAAGGCCTGAGTCTGCAAGGTGTGCTAACGGCTGACTCGTGCAAAAGCAAGCAGAGTGAAATGACGGAATAGACACGGATTCCGTATCCGCGGCCTGGAGCCGGGCACATGTCGAACGAGCCTTGGTGAGGCAAAGTCTAAGCAGCCTGGCGCCCCTGGCCTGTTTTCTAGTTCACCGCTGCCACGCTGCGGTGCCGCTGAGACAACGGGAAGTATCGTCGCACCTGTGCGGGTCCGCAGCAATTTTGCTGGCTGGCCTTGCCTGTTAGTAACAGTACGGGCTTCTGCGCCTGCCGGCACTGCCGGTGCATACACAGGAGCAGAGACGGAGCCTGCAGATTGGAGCAACGATGTGCAACAAAGCGACACGACCACGTCCAAGAAGTCAGCCTTCTTCCCGTGGCAAAACTGCCATGGGCCGCACGCTGGACAAACATATCCTGTCACGACTGCCGGTGTGCAGGCTTCCAGTGCTAAACCACGATGCCTCGGTGCTGATGAACTCCTCGCTGGATGGTTTGCCCAAGTGTTTACCACTGATGGGTGCCTGTTGCCGCTAGCAGTGCATCACGCTCGTTTGCCCCGGCGCACTGCGATTACTGGGCACGCGGCGGGCCGCGATCTCTTGGGGTGAACGGGCTGGGTTGCCTGATGAATACAGGTGTCGCATGGGTCTGTCAATTCGGTGTTATGTGCTGGTCAGTCCTTCGAAGGGCGACGGAGGTCGCAGAAATCTGCGGCGCTATACTGTGCAGGATTTTCGCGAGGCGAGTAATTCCAGAAGCCGCTCTGCAGTCCTGCGAGGTGTGTGGAGTGAAGCTCCAGAATAGCCTGCAAGCTGGCATCGGGCGGTGTCGGAACTCGTCTGGAAAGGTGGATAAACTCATGTCGCACAACAGAAGCCGTCCTCTAGGCAGGGCGATGGCCATGCGAACCTTGACAAACAACCCTCTTGGTGCTGCAGAGCGAATTTTCGGAATGAGTTCGAAGGCCGGGAATCATCGCAGTTCTACGGTCACAACCAAAACCAATTCAATTCCGGCCTTGGCCGTGGCCTTATCAGCCCGATGCGCCGTTCTTTGGCATTGCCCGCTCGAGCCAAAGTCACACAATGTCACCCATGCCGACTGTGGCTGGCGCAAAGAGGCGTAAAGAGCAGAAATCACTTAGTGCCTCTGCAACCATAGTTTGATAGGTTGCTGGGGCCTGCTTGAGCATCCCCAAGCCTTCGTCTTGAGTGCCACTTCTTTCCCACTGAATTGTTCGATGGATGCTCCCGATCCGCAAGGGTATGGGTATGGGCACCTCCAACTAAGATCAAGCACCGTGTGCTACCTTCGGTTAGTAGTGGGAGAATGGCATGCGGCAAGCTAAGGACATACCAAAGAAACCATGATGCATTATGCTTGTGGTGCCACGGCCACGGAGATGCAGGATTTGCATGCACAGTCAACAATGCATGGCGATGCAGGCAGCTATCACTTTTCGATGTATGCTTTGCCCACATCGTCCATTTTAAGTCTGCTTCTGACATGCATTGCCGGAAAAACACTTGAACTAGATTTCAAGCGACACGGATGTAGCCAATCGCGAATCAGTTGACCATGACCACAGGGTGTCAGTCCAAGCTGAGGCCTTGAATGTTCACCTGGATATCTGTTTCCATTTGAGGCAGCCGCGGATTGTGGAGATGTTTGCTCCTCAAACATCAGAAACGAGACGCAAGCATGCTCAACAGCAGAAAAACTCCAGACACTCATGGCATGCGTGGACCACACAGGCAAAGGCTCCACGAACAAGTCTCAACACCCTCCCGCCTCTCTTAGAAGGAATCCAAAAGCCGGGTAGTACAACGGGCACTATCGCTCGTATTGTCTTCTGCATAAACCTTCTTGCCAAGGCATGGGTGCGTCCACCGAATGTAAGGCAGGTAGGGTTCTTCTTCAAGAGGCTCCCATGACTTCACCTGTCTCGTCCGTTGCGTCCGGTCTGTCAAGATGGTGCGCTCCAAGCTCATCAGGCTCGCTGCAGCTGCGCATTGAACTGCTACACCCCCGACAAAAAAGTGTCTGCTTAAAGTGGCATGGCATACCTTGCAGGGTGGGTTGTGTGTGGGTGCACGGTGTACAATCAATAGATTCGGTAGATGTGACGTTGGCAGAGTCTTCGAACACTGTCACGACGGTCTTCTACGGTGCCTGCAGGACACTATTTTGATCTACCTCTAAGCCTGTCGAATTAGCGGAGAACTACTGGCTCTGGGAAGTAGATCAACTTACAACCAACCGAGTTCACTCTTATGGCGAGTACTCACAAGCTGCCCACCATCCCCACCAAGCTTCTCTTGTGGAGCTGCATCAAACTGCATCAGCTGCCTCATGTGCTGCTGTAGTTTCTTCTCGTAGCGGCCAAGTTCATCCTGTGGTCCAGCGGCAACGAAGGTCAGGCTAAAAAGCACACGAAAGGCACACCAACGGCGGCTCCTGCAGGGTCTTGTTGTCCTTTAATCGGCGCCAGATTTTGTACTGGACGACCAGTCCAACGAATGCTGCCAAGGCTTGAGCCATGCTCTGGGCAGCCCCACGCGAAATAGTGTTGGCCTAAGCACAGCTGAACCCGAGTCAATACAAACCGTAGACCGTAGACCTTTGTGGTGCATGAACTAGGATTGCATGGCGAAGTGTCCCTCAACGCATGACCGGGCCGCGACTTGCAAGCCGTGGTGCGATGTCATCACAGAAAGACGTATCCAATTCCTCCACCCGCTGCCACCTCGCAACAGTCTGAAGAGAGATGGCTCCTGATCTACCGCAAGCTTGATCGAGGCGTTGTGGCGGCGCTTAATTTCATATTGAGCTCAGACGCATAGCTGCGCAATTTAGCAAAGATCTCAAGCTCCTCAATGACGTCAATGTTGGAAGAAGCTCTGACTTCAGGTCTCGCGCGAACCTGATGGGTTATGCATGCCACCGTGCGGGGCTGCCACCTGATTAGCACTTAACCGGATGCTGCACAGCTTGGGATTCGGAGTGAGTCGATTTATTCAACTTAGCACTAAGGACTGGCACTCCTGTGTAATAATCTTCCTAAAATAGGTGCCGACAATGCAACGTGCACAATCACAAGGCCTCTTGTTGGGGACTTCGACGGGTCAACAGAGGCGAGAAAATGATGGCCCTTTATGGCATGAGCGAATGACAGTGGCAAACGTGTGTTAAAACTGCCCCTCGAGGCAACTCGCCAGCTCGGGGGAACCAAACACGTGTTTTGGTGACAGAGATCTTCGACTTAGTGGTGACACTCGGTGCCGTCGCGGCCGTTCTTGGACTGCATGCTTCGGCCGCAATACCTCAAGGCATTTCTTCGCGCGCAGCCTTGCATGCCCGGCAGCGAAAATTTCAGGCTACTCCGCGTCCGCAAAATTGTGATGCGCGATGTTTTGTGCTTGTGGGCGGCCGGCTGAGGGTCGCACAACAGCAGAAAGCTCTTTTCAGAACCTAAAGACAAGGACTCCCAGGCAAACAAGCTACAAGATCTGGACTGCATCTGCCATCTCCGTCGTTTCTGCCAGTGCTGCCTTCAGCAAGCCCGCCTCTGCAATGACATGATCATGAAACTCGTGCACACCACAAGCTCGGAAGTGAATGGAGCCGTCGTCAGACATCACATTGCATTGCAAAGCATCTGCGGCCAAGAGTTTCTCCTTGTTCTGCGCATAGCGCAAGGCATTGCCGACATCTGTTGGCAGCGACTCAAGCTCTGATTCTGAGGGCCGAGTCGGAGATATTACAAAGCCGCCACCCGAAGTGCCGGAGAGAAATGTATATTGACCAGGCCCAGCAATCAGCTCCGCATAGGTGTTGAGTCCACGTATGGTTGTGACACTGTCAGGGGCTATCTGATCATCGGCAGCCAACCCAGAATTCAGAAGAAGACCCTCCACATTGGATCCTAGCTCCAGCCTGCCATAAGACTCAGTCTCGTTGTCTGGTCCCACAGGGTCGAGCAAAAATGTGCCACCAAAGTCTTCTGCTGCATCAATCAACCTCTGAACTAGGTCTGCAGATTGCACGCCTAGAGGTGGCTCAGCCAGCTTGTCATCGAGCTGGTAGAAGCTCTCGGCCAGCTCGCTCTGAAAATCCAGCTTAGATCCACCCAAACCGATAGCAGTGAGCATGTCCCCAGTCCGGTTTCGAGAAAGGCAAGTCTGTGCGAGCCTTACCGCTTCTCTAGCTGCCCTTGCTTCATTCGTGTCCTCATCGGTCAGGAAGACGCCGAATACCGAAGCGTACCTTTCCAAACCTTCGAAAGTTAGAAGTTCGCTTCGGACGAAGACGCAGGTTTCTGCCACCGGAACCGTGAGAATAAAAAGGCTGGACCCGAGTGTAAGGGCAAGGAAGGTGTGCAAAAAAGCACAGCACCATGAGACTAGATGCAGTCTCCCGCTTGGCGGGCGTGCGTGTGGATCCTCACCCATCTTCGCATACTTATACCGCGTACGGAGAAAGGCTGCCCAGCCAATGATGGCACCCAGGCCAGCTAGAACGGACACAGACACAAAGAGCAAGTGCCGGATCGACTCGACCGTATCAATGTGTGGCCGGTTCTTAACCCAAAGCTTTGCAACCGCCTCTTTCACTACGGCCTCATTGAACAAGCTGAACGAGATGTTGGCATATTTCATGGACTGAGCCAAGTCGGTCAGGTTCTGCTTAGTCAAATGTGTTGCAGCGATCTGTCGAATCGTCGCAGTAGCCTGCGAAGATGAAGCCGAAATTTGCTGCTCCAAGGCGTGCAAAAGTCCGACTGAAGGGTAGCCTAAAGGAAGGGAGGAAGCAGCTCCCTCGCCGACACCAAGAGCCAAATTGCAAAAAACGCAGCGGTGGTCAAACAGACGTCGGCCCAAGCCGACTGCTTCTAAATTACTGGAGATGTGCTGCAGCCGGCGCAGGAGCATGTCATGCTTCCGTGAGAAATCTTCCGAGTTTGCCATAACGCTTCCAAGTGTCTTGCTGGCGACGCTGTCTGCATCAAGGGCGATACCAACACTGTTAAACCGACGAAGGGCAGGCTCTGTACCCAGGAACCAGGTTGAACCATGAAGCACTTCGGCCGCAAAGTGATGCGCTATGCAGAGGCTCCAGTTCACGGAGTCATGCAACGTTTGGCTTGCTTCCACCATGGAAGAACAAAGTGCTACCTGGAATGCGCTTGCACCGCTCCACAAGACGACACCGATAATGATACAGAATCGCGATGTCTTTGTGGGTTCCTTCCTTTCCTTGCAACACACCATTTGTCTACAGCACCTGCAGCAGGCCACGAAACAGCAGGGGAACCACAGGAGGAACAGCAGTGCGGATAAAAACAATGGAATTCCGTAGGGCACTACCAATGACATTATATAGTCCGTCCAGGCTTGTTCACATTCGGACACCTCTGCGGGCTCCAATGGTGAACTGCCACAGCGCAGCTGTGTCTGAGAGAATGCGCTTCCAACCTGCTCTTGACGAAGACCGTGCAAGATATCCGCCAAAGAACCTCTTCCACCTGGAGGAGCGCCAGCCAAATCGGGCACAGAGTACTCAAGGCCCCGCTGAATGATGGAGGGTTGGCGAGAAGGAACCCTGTCACACACGAACTCTGTGCTCGCAGCAAGGGAGTCGCTGTCTATGGGTGCATCCTCCGGCCAAATCCTGTTCGGTGTTATGTGCTCGGCAAGCTGGGCCTGGCAAAGTCGCAGAAGCGCCAAGACAGCGGAAAGTCGCGTCGGCGCTTTCGGAAAAAGTGTGACCGAATGACATTGCATCTGAAGTTGCAAGCCATGCAAATCTTTGACCACAACCTCAACTATGTAGGACTAACCAACCATAGTGCATCATAGTAACTTTATACTATATAATGACATCATCTGCCATCAAACTACCACTTATGCCACAAGCGAACGGAAATCAGCTGCAGCAAAGACACACTCGAGGCACAGTGAAACCGACAAATCCTGTTGCAAGCCCCTTCAATTCACGTCCCATTTGAGATGTGCGCAACCAGAACTTTCTGCACGGATCTGCACCGAATACTCTGTGCATCGGCTTACATCTGATGCCAAGACCCTCACATGCTCTCACCTTTCCACTTGTTCCAGTTCCATCCGTGACCTGTTGGAGTCAACCCATTATCTGGGGGACCTTTTGGAAGCAGAGCGGACATTTTTGTAGACAACTAGTTGGCACTGCCCAGCCCAAAAAGGCTGTCCTCCTGTGCAAAAAAGGGGTCTTGATGCGTCATGCCAGTGGCTCAGCCATTGCAAGGCGCATCGCCAACCAGCATTGTGTTTCGCACGAGCCAGCTGGTCTGGTCTGACCCCGAGAAGCTTGAATCACGAAATTGCTGTTGTTGCAAAAATGCTCGTTGGAGCTTGATCACCGAATTCATGGCGTGAAATGCAGAGTAGGTTGATTTGCGCTATGGTGAGCAGCTGACATGCTTGTTGAAGCCAGGTGCCACCGTCCACGCTCACTCTACGTTCAACTACCTCAATAATTCGTTTTCCTCCTCTGACACGGTCGGTGCCGGAGACACCTTCACACGCTCAAAACCCTGCCCAGGGACTCAACATGGTTGCTTTGATCTCATGGCCTTCCGCTGGTGGACATGTACATGGCTGCCGGAAGCCTGGTGCAGGAGGCATGATCTTGAGCTGTCCATCAACACGCAGATGTTTCACAAGCCACGAAAACGCGAAGCAAGCTGAATGCATTTGTCACTGGCATTCCGGCAGCCCTCGCTCAGTCCATCCCTGCCTGCATTTCAGCGTGTAAAGTCGGCAGTGGCTTATGGGGAGCCTTGTAATCATATCTCGCCGTGTCTAGTGACCTGGGTCTCGTACCTGAGTATCTGCTCGCAGCAAAGCGAAAAGCCTAAAACAAACAGTCAATGCGCTTTGCCGATGTTTGCTGCAGAGTGTCGTAAAGGACCCAGCATGGGGGCGCTTGTCGCTTGTGCATGCCTCGTGGACGTAGCCAATGCCTTGACTGCTCGTTCGCGCGACAGAAGTGACGTCTCCATGCCAGTAGAGCCCGCAAACGACAAACAGCTTTGCGCGGTAGCGAATCAGTGCAAGTCGCGGGCTGCAGGGCTCCTGGTGCTGGCAATCCACGCGGGCGGCGACCCGCTTCCATCGATTTGGGAAGGAGAGGTTCTGACGCATTCCTAGCTTCACATTCGCAAGCTCGGCACTGTCTAGGAACACTGAATTCAACACAGCGCTCTCACGAATTATGGAGCCCTCCAGTCTGGAGATCAATCGAATGGGGACAGCATGCTCGCAAATCAAGCACACGAAAAAACAGAGTGGCGTGCTCGAACATGCTGTCATACTGCGGTTGGTTGCAACTTCAAGATTGTGAGCGAACAGCTAAGCGGATGGATTGAAGATATTGAAGCACGGGGATGATTCGTTTCTCTATCCGCCCCTGGCGGGAGGTGCGTGGACGCGTGTTCATGCGAGGCCAGCGGGCTCATCGGTGCAGACAATCAATCAATGCCTCCGGTCACGCGTAGGTGTTCCGCTCAGTCTCGTCGTGTTTCAGCCAGCATCAGCCGGCTATCCCGTGCAATAAAAAAAGAAACCTGCTGATGTTGCTCAAGATTAACAAATAATAGCATGATGAACAACATGCGCAGATTGCTGGGCACTACGTGGTACGAAGATGAAATAGCATGTGCAGCACACCCCAGCGCACACAGGCAACGGCTTCTGCCTACCCCCACAAAAGGAGACCCGAGAGATCACTTGTCGAAATTGCATGCAGCCCATGCTCGATACACTCGTCCCATCACTATATAATAGGTTAGGTTCGTGCACACGGTCCTTCCGAAGCTGCCACCACTGTCCATCACCCAACTACAGAAACGACTGGTTGTAACAAGCAGTGCACATGTCTACTATGTCAGGATGTAGTTGAACATCAGAAGTCTGGTGCTCACGAAATGGAACTAAGTTTGCAAGTGGCATGTCCTCTAAATCGGAATGCCCTGTCTGTGTCTCGGGTCTATTGCTAGTGCGAGCATAATCTATGGCGTTGGGTTGAGGACAAGCGGCCCAGCCAGCGAAGGTCGGCGAGGCCTTTCCTCCAGTTTGGACTTCTTCACAAGCAGGGGGCTTCCCGTGAAGGAGGTTGCCATCTGTGAACTGGCATAGCCTGCACTCAGCAAAAGCGAACAACATCTGTTCCGGGCTACGGACACCATGTAGAAGGCTCGGGCGCTCTGCTGCAGCCATGGGAGTAGTGGTGGTAGTAATCAAAGAAGTCGCAGGCGTTGGGTAATGAAACTAGTAGAAATCGCAGTAGTAGTAGTAGTAGTAGTAGTAGTAGCCGTCGTCGTCGTCGTCGTCGTCGTCGTACAGTCGTCCTGGTCGTAGTCGCAGTCGTGTTTGCCGTGGTAGTGGTAGTGGTGGGAGTGGTAGTGGTGGGAGTGGTAATGGTAGTAGTAGTAGTAGTAGTAGTAGTAGTAGTAGTAGTAGTAGTAGTAGTAGTAGTAGTGATAGTAGTAGTAGCAGTAGTAGTAGTAGTAGCAGTAGTAGTGGTAGTAATACTAGCAGCACTAGTAGTGTTGCATGACTTTCCTTTCGTCGTCGTGACATCACAGTCTGGACGGCTTGGACTCGTCCCAGCTGTTGTGGCGTTGGCTGATCCCTCGCGAAATACGGCATTCGGCGTCATCCGGGCCGATATCTTCTGGAAGCTTCGACCAGCGAATACTCAGTATGCTTTTGCACCTGAGCCAAGCTGCTCTTTCGTGAAGTTTGTGCAAGAAGATCTCTTGTGGTGTGAGCTCGTGGCAGAATCGGCCAGTAGCGCTCGGCGCCGTATCGCCCAGGAGCTGGCTTCGTCGTCGGCGAGGATGACCCCAGGCCTCATCCTCCGTGTGTGTGTGTGTGTGCTGGGGATCTGGGCCGGGTCCCAGTCTGCGAAGACGTCGTTCGGGTCGACTCCCCTGTACCTTTGTCCCACGCTTGCTGCTCCTGTTGTCGGGCTTCTTGTCCCCCGCTGGCTGCCACAAGAGGTCGTCGTTGCTGCCGTGTTGCTTCTCTCTCTCTCTCTTTCTTTCGCCAGGGCTAGGGGATAGGGAGAATTTCTCCCTACTCTCTCTCTCTCTCTCTCGCTCTCTCTCGCTCCCTCTCGCTCTCTCTCTCTCGCTCTCTCTCTCGCTCTCTCTCTCGCTCTCTCTCTCTCTCTCTCTCTCTCTCTCTCTCTTTCTTTCTCCGGGACTGAGGGCGAGCCCCCGCGGGAGCCGCCCGTTTGTTGGTTGTGTGCGTGTGTGTTGGTTGTGTGCGTGTGTATTACACGCTAGAAGCAAGCACTCCTCGGCGACATGTTGTATTACGCCCCGAACTTTCCAATGATCCATGCCCCAAGGTATGACTATCACTATCACTGTGTATATGTCGCCTGTGGCCATCTGTACCTCGTGGTTTTCCCACTTTTTCCCCAGGTCTGGGGTTGCACTCTGAGGAGGCTGTCTACGAGTGCGCCCCAAAGCTCACATGTATCCCCTCGCACATTACTCTAGGATTCATGGTAAGTATCTTCCGGGCTCCACTCTGGTTGGGGCTCAGTTGCCTCGTCTACTAGGTTACCCCGCCCCTCTTGTCAGGAAACACACAGTGGCATAGGAGTACGTTGCTGATCACAGGACGGGGCTCAGTGTGTACCTAGGTCTACATGTAGATAGGGCAGCTCCGCTCCGGTAAAACAGCAGGTACAGGAGTGCAAGTCACAGTACTCGGAGCTCCCTATTCTCCACCCTGGCTCTATGGTGATCAGCCCGCCTTGCCCAAAACAACACAGTGGGTACTCCAATGCAGATCACAGTATGCGGGTTGCAGTCACCCGTGCAAAGGGTTTCTACTCTCAACTTGGCTCTACGGTGGCTGCCCGCTTTGCACAGAACATTTCAATATCTCAACGTCGGGTGTCCCAATGCAGATCACAGTATGCGGGATGCAAGCATCCGTGCCCCGGTCATCTACTCTCACCTTGGCTCTACGGTGGCTGCCCCGCTTGCACAGACACAGTCAACATCTCAACATACACCCCGATGCAGGCCACACGACGCGGGGTACAGCACCAGCCTCGCTCCTAAGCTTCAGTCGCTGCGGCCAGGTGACGAGTAGGGCGTGGGTCGGTCAGTAGGGCTCGAGGTGACACGTCGCCGACTAACCGGGCCTTGGTGTCCTTCTGCTGCTCGCCCTCGTCTTCTTCACGTTCTGCCCCCCGCTTGGTCTTCATCTGTCGGGGCTCTCGCCCCGGTGTAGTCTTCGTGGCAGCCATAAAGGGGTATTTCCGCCTGGTCGTCGTAGTAGGTGTCGCTCTCCGACTCGTCGTGTTGAGCTTCTTGTGCTGCTTTCTGGTCCTCCTTTTCGAGCTGTTTTGCCCAGTCCTCTCGGGCTTCTCTTTCCTGGTCCTGGGTCCATCTGTGTAGGAGCAGTTGCCACCACTCTTCTTCCGCCGGGCATGAGGGGTTGGTTAGACCCCCTGGCCACTAGGGTCACTAGGGCCCCCCATATTTTGGGGGACTTTGGAGGAATGTGAGAATGTTGTTCGTCACTCACTCTCTCTCTCTCTCTTTGCTTTGCTTTGCTTTCCTCGGGTTTTAGGGCAGGAGCACTCCTCCCACCCCGTGCGAGCGCGCTACCCCATCCACTATTTGGAGTGGAAGGGCTCGGCTGACCAAGGAGCTCTTCTACCGGGGCAACAGGTGCTACCAGAAGGGCCAGAAGCACCACACCAAGGTGTACCTGTCCAACATGGTCCTTCTGTGGATACGCAGGCCTAGAGGGTGATCCCAGGCACAGGGTGAGACGTAGCAGCCCCGTCAACTTTGAGTGGTTGCTTTACCTTCTTGTTGCCTCGATCTTGGTGACACTTTCTTTCACAGGCTTTCAGACTTTGGCGAAACACTCGGACAATGGCCAGTGAAGCAGCGGAAGCCATGGCATCTGCCGAGCAGCCGGAAGCGCCCCGCGCCAGCGGAGACTCCTGACTCTCAGCAAGCAGCGCCCTCACCAATGATAATGCCGCCGCCAGGAGTTGCTCCAGTTGTTAAGGCTCCACCTCCAGAACTCCTTGCGAAAGAGGAACCCAAAGACCCAGCTCCAGGAATCAGTCGCGCGATTAAAACATACTAAAACGCTTTCTCTGTAGGGCTCTGTTGGATCGTGCGCGCGGAAAAGGGTCCTGGCTCTTCCGGAAGAGTCTAACGCGACTAAAACGCTCTCGCTGAAGGGCTCTGTTGGATCGTGCGCACGCAAAAGGGTCATGGCCTCCGGAAGAGTATAGCGCGACTAAAACGCTCTCTCTGTAGGGCTCTGTCGGATCGTGCGCGCGCAACAGGGTCCTGGCTCTTCCGGAAGAGTCTAACGCGACTCCAACGCTCTCTCTGAAGGGCTCTGTCGGATCGTGCGCGCGCAAAAGGGTCATGGCCTCCGAACAGTGTAGCGCGACTAAAACGCTCTCCCTTTAGGGCTCTGTCGGATCGTGCGCGCGCAAAAGGGTCCTTGCTCTTCCGGAAGAGTCTAACGCGACTAAACGCTCTCTCTTTCGAAGGCTGTGTGGGAAAGAAGGAGAGTGAGAGGGCGAGGGAGAGGGAGACGGAGAGGGAGCATTATCTTTCGCCGGGGCCTCAGAGTGAAAGAGAGAGAGAAGAAGAGAGAGGAGTCGAAGAGTCGCACGTGGCATCACATCATGACAGAGATAGAGCATTGGCTGCAGAAGCGTGCGGATCCCCTGCGGGGAATTGTGAACAACCCGACCTAAAGTTCAAGCTACAAAACAATTCGTGATCGAACAGATCACACAACACAACGAACACTACTCCCAACACAACATCTTACACGTCAAATCAGTCAAACAGATACAGCAAAAACTCCCCAAGGGAATCATTCACTGCGAAGACCACTTTCCCAACCGACTTATGTGGTACTGCCCAGCTTTGTACCATACAGCCATTCACAACACCTTTTTGGACCAGGAGGTCTTCAACATTTCACCACACTCACCCCTACAACATCACTATGATGTCTACACGGACATCTGGGCTATGCTTCCAGACTACGCCTGGGCCTTCACACAATGGGGCCGCATACCACGCGCATACATTCTACCAAAACGCAAGAAGCAATTCGCGAAAGGCCGCCCCATAGTGGCATTCATAGACACGATGGGCAGAAAACTATGGGAAGCATTAGCAGACGTCCTACAGCTGATGACGTCGAAGGCATGCCCCGATTCCTTCCATCAGGGAGATGGCATCACTCAGCTTAAGCAAACAGCATCTTTTATACAAGAAAGCTACAGGACACCACAGAATACATCCTGTACAATCAGGATTTAGCCGGCTTCTTCACTTCAGTGGACAAGAGCCGATTCCTCTCGGCCTACAGCATACTCTCGAAATGGTATCGAGAGAAAAACCCACTCCATTCCAGCACTTTTTACATTGATCACTCGCAGAAGGACCCCACACACCGGGTGCACCGTGGAAAGAGCGGACAAAAGCAGCAGGAAGCATCGACGGGCAACAAACTCGGCATTCACCAGCAACACATCCCACAGCTGATTGCAGCTGTGTTGATCATCAACTACTTCACTGTTGGCACCTCTCTTATCGAACAGTTTCGCCGGTCACCCATGGGATCACCATGCAGCCCGGCTTTATGCAACATTGTGGTTGCCGTGGAAGAACAGTGCTGGCACCACACCTACAAACATTTTTTCGTCAATCACAAATATTTTCCTCACAAAACTCACAAAGACCACGCTATTTTCTTTGCAACACGCCACGTGGACAACCGAGTCCTTCTTTTGCCAAAGCACCTGACTCAGCTCCCTCCTTTTACCCAACTCACGGCTGCATCTTTTTACAAGCCTCCGTTTCAGCTTGAAACTGAACCGGCCAACATTTTCCTGGGTTTCGCTATCGACCCCAACCAAAGCAGCCTCACATATCAATGCAGTTTGCACACGGCCGACATTTTGCACCCCCGATCGGCCACCACCAGCCAAACACTTCGCAGCAGCTTCCAAGCACGCACACGACTTGTACAGAGGGTTACCACACCCAGCAACAAAGCTAACAAAGCCATTCGAGCCATGCATGACCTCTACGTTGCGGCTGGGTAC